GCAGGATTTTACTCTTGTCAAAGACCTAATTTATATTCTTGCAATTGATTTATCACATTCATCACTTCAAGAAACCAAGGGCAGCATCACTTAAAATCTATATATCTGTGTCCCTTGGATGGATATACATAAGCTAGAACCCTCTAAAATTACTGTATACTGACTTCTAAAGCTGCAGAGAAACTAGAATTTCAGAAATTGTATCCACTCATCCATTTTCAGGATCCGGCATCATCCCATTCAGGGATGCAGGATACTGGTCCCAGCAGGTGGAGATGGAACCTGTCCCAGCTAGCTGCGACACACCCTGGAAGGGACACCAGTCCATCGCAGGTCATAAACAGACATACAACCACTCACACTCATCCCAGGACCAAATTCTCCTACCAGTGTCTCTATGGACTGTGGAAGGTGCTTTAGAACACCTGAAAAAACCCACATGAACATGGGAAGAACATGGGAGCTCTATTTTCCATAAACATGTAAAATCCAGAATTATTCCCTTAGAATCTCAACAACAAAATCTTAACAGAACTCATTTCTTAATACAATGAATCCACCTCAGTATTAAATCTCCCTCCTTAAATACAAACGCACAGGTGAATGATATCAAATAGCCCAATTCTAAACAAACGCATCACTAGAGACATGTTTTCAGTCATCTTACTCACAGTCCCAAACTGCATTAGGATATATTTTTGTTTAAAGCAAGGCAACAAGAGTTAAAACAATATTCATTACAAATTCTGACAAGAGTTATTTAAATAATACTCATAGGCTCTATCGTCTCAGTAGAAAACAATATAATATCAAAAATCTTAGCACAGACCTTGCATTTGGGAGGAAGACATGAATATGTTTAATGATCGCAAATTCATTTGGGGTGGTTAATTTGGATCTTCCTAGATTAAGACACTACTTTTACTTAAGGAGGCTAGCAATCGATTTGGACCATTAAAGGCGTTAAAGAATTTCACCTCCAAAAAGTATTGTCACGATTAACTTGCTTAGTATGTGAAAAACAATAAGCGCTGGAAGCACAAAAGGAATACAAAGCAATGTCAGATTTTAATAGGCAGGTAAAGAGCTCCACCTACTGCTACTCACAGTAAAATTCCAAACATACACTGCTCTCCATGCATCTTTTACTAAACCTGCAATGTATTTTAATTTCACCATTTCATAACCTAGGTGTTACAAGCAAGCATAATTAGCTATTTCTTTAGGCTTTCATTTGGATAACCCATGCTCATTTTTTACACCACGTTATCCTGAACAAGATATCCATCACAGAATCAAAACGGATCTTTTCTGCACAAGAAAGCCAAAATACAATGCTGGCAATTGGGTACATGCCTGTCTATGACTCAATTTGTCTTGAACTTGACACTCAGCTTTCAACACACCTCTGAAAAGGCAGTTCTCTTTTTGTGCCCGGATTTATACTATGTTCCTACAGAAAACATACCTTTACAAACAAGGAATATCTGCTTCCAGGAGAATTTCAAAAGGATGTATGGAAATGGGTCTGTGGTGCTATCTGCACAGAGTCTGTATGGTCTCCTCGTGTTTGTGGGTTTCTTCCAGATGCTCCCATATCCTCTCACAGTCCAGAGACATGCTAGTAGGTTAACTGGCTTCTGGGATAACTGGCCCATGTTTCTATTTGTGTGCGTCTTGCAATGGACTGGCAAGTCCATGGTGTCCATGGTCTATCCTGCCTTGTGTCTCAAGACCCCTGTGACCTTGTATTGGATAAAGCTCAGCAAATTCTTGGGTGGATAAAATGTCCAAAGTTCTGGTTTCTTTGCAACTTTAGAATTTCTAAGTCAGTTTACAATAATTTTAGATTACTCTTGCCTATAAAACTACAGAAATTGAAGGGATATATGTAAGCAAGATACAGCATCAGTAGTCACCTAATGTGATGATCAAATGGCTCTGTACATTAGCTTGGAAAGTTACTTAATGAGATTGAGACGATTAAAAAAAAAAGTCATGAACCACCTCTGCAAATAACATGGTAAAACAGGGTTCCTACAGAAAATATAATAGCTGTCTGACCGCCATGTTGTTTGCACAATTTGAACCACTGTTATCTTGTGAAATAACTTGAAATGTGTAGGACTGCTGTTTGAATCAAGATGGCTGCATAACTACCATTTTGCTCTCAATCATTATATCACCTCTCTGGTGGGAAAAACTACTACTCATGTGTTGTGGTGGCATTTTCCACAATCACCAACAGATCAGTACCAATGAGCTCCAGTTTGTGGATTCTCGTTTCCAGCTAGATTACTGTCATTTTGCTCAATTTGCTAAATTAATGATTACTGGTCCTACTTTAACACCTCCAAAACTGCTTGCAATTTCCCAATTTTACCATGTAACAAAGGATATTTAAATATTTTGGAATCCAAACAGTGGTCTGCTCAATTCTGAGAGGACTAGAGAATCAAAGCACGTGTGCACCTACACTACAAAAAGTTGCCAGGAGTCCATCCGGTCACACTGTAAATGCAGATGAAGAATCCTACTCATCTCTTTTCATATGCCTCTACATCACTGCTGGGACATTTACATTACTTCTAAAGCTTCTCTGGCGATTTAGACAACCACATCTTGGAAACCGCACCACTTGGTAGCTCATATTTGTACTTTTACATTACGATGCAAAGCTACAGTACAAACTACAAAACACTATAAATGCCCAGCCTGCCTACTATGCAACCATCATTTGTACCCAGAAAAGTTTGCATTCATGGAAGGACATGGTATTCAAATGCACAAAGGTCCACATACAATGTATCCACTATCCCTGTCCATGACACGATGTCACATGCATGTCTCCCAATTGTCTTGGCTCCATTGTGCAATTGTTCTGTAACAGGCTAGACTTATAAACTCTCTGCATCTCAAAATCATCATAAAAATGAAACTGAATGTGTTAAACCAATAGCCCAAACTGTGACATTAAGTATTGCATTAATTCACACACAGACACCCCCGATAGTAGTGACTCCAATTTTATTTTTCACCTCTTAGCTGGAATAGGCAAAATCCTATTTTAAATGTGATAAGTGGACACTCAGCATCATAAGAACATAAGGTTACAAATGAGACGAGTACATTCAGCTCCTCCAGCACTTTTGGCAGTTAGTAGCTAATAAGGGATAAAAAGCTTTAAGTGGTGAATGCTCAAATTGGAATGACATAATTAGTGGAGTGCTACACAAAAATGCACTAGGACCCGTGCTTTTCCTAATCTATATCAATGACCTAGATTCCGACACAGTTCATTAACAAGTAACATTTGCATACAGTACTAAATTAGGAGCACTGGCAAACACTGTAGAAGCAGCAAATTAAAATTAAAAAGACTTAGACAAAAGTCAAGACTCAGCAAAAACCTAGTAGATGACATTTAATGTAAATGAGAGCAGAGTTTTGCATTCAGGTAATAAAAATAAATAAATTCCAAATGGGAAACAATGAAACAAAAGAGGCTACTTATAAAAACAGAACAACCATGTTTACAGTGACCATTTATATCATCTGTACAACATGGCAAAACAATTAAGTTGGCAAAGAAAATGCAAGGATATACAATTAAAAGCACAGAATTCCTATAAAGGGATGAAAAGATATGACTCATTTTAGAATATTCCACACAATGTTGGTCACCATATTGAAAAGTTGCTTTGGAATCATTCTGAAGCTAAAGAAAAGGTTCTGTCTCATCAGCCACAAGACAGGTTGAAGAAGCTGTGCCTTTTTGTTCCTGAACAGAGAAGATTAAAAGGAAATATGATATAAATATTCAAAGTCCCTACAGATATTGACAAAAAACAACCCACCAGACCTCTTCAGAAAGACAGGTGAAACACATACCAGGGGACATACATGGAAACTACTGGGAAGCGCATTAAAAACTGAAATCTTTATTCAAAAGGTTGTGGGCTCAAACTAGCCAGTCATACTGAACCCCCTACCTTGGCTTCTTTAAGATACAGCTACTGCAAATTTGATCCTAATATCAATAAGCTATTTACTACCAAACAGGCTAGATGTCATTTTTAGTTCTGGTAGATCCAAGGATGTCTGAAAAGACGCCGGGTGACTTAATTCGACAATGTTGTAATTTCTGAACACAAGAGACCGGCAATAAGAGTTTATGTAATTCTTTTACAACGGAGATTGAATTAATTATTTAAAAAAAAAAACTTCCAAACACAGGGCATCAGCATGGTTTTCTAACTTTCATTAAAGGAGATTTAAAGCTCTATTATTAGGTCTGTTACGGTGTTGCTAACGAAGACTTACTTCTACGTATATCAAGAACCGTTGTGGACAACCTTTAAACTGTTCGATCACAGAAAGAAACCAGATAGAAATCCTGACAGTTAAAGTTTGAAGACTACTTAATGCGTACGTAATATCTAGTGTAGAAACATTCTGAAATGGGTACAAGAGCTCTGTATTTTCAAGTGATGCTTTAAAAAGTACAGGAAGCAGTCCCCTCTCCCCGGAACTCCCATCACCCCTTGCATGTATCTATACATGCATCTCTGCAAATGAATGGCTGATATTTAAATATTTCAAATACAGTAATATTACTTGTTCGCACCAACCACAACTGGATTAAACACAGCGCAGTGCAATGCTTTGAATCCCAGCCGGTGTGATTATTACTAACGATATTATCATCTCCATACAATCTCCATGATAAAGAGATTTTGTTTTGCATCGAACAAAGTAAAACCAGTCTTCAAAAAGTTAGTCATAGTCCATCGACAGTTTGTCCGATTTTCGATGACTAGACATGTTCCGACTGACGGGTATTGAATTAAAAAGCACACCAAATGAGCTTAACAACACCATCATCCTTTCCTCTGCCCTATACGGGATACTGTACTGCCCATGTGTGTTAGCGCCAAGAGAGTCGCCTAGGCTGGGTGTGTGGTTCACACCACCCAGCTCCCCCGATCGCTGCGACTTACCAGCCCTTCAATTTGAATCATCTTAACAGGAGAGTCCAGCGTGTTGCCCGTAGTGGAAGCTACTGCTGGAGCAGAAGCGGTGCTTGCTGGTGCGGCCGACTCCTTGCGCGCTGCCATGTTGCCCGATTACTCTTTCAGAAAGGAAGAAACCGAACTCCGCTCTGCCGGATGCCGGATATAACGCAATGGTGTAACGCTGTATGGTGCTCGGACAGAAACGAGTAACAACAGCCTTGTGTAACAGTCTTTGTAACAGCGCCATGCGCGTCAGTCTGTTGATCATGTACTATTTCACTTGAAAGTCTGAAAGTCTGTACAATCGCAGTTTGTACAAGGCAATGTGTTGCAATGATCTTTTTTTTGTAGATAGATCATTATTGTAATCAGTGCAATATTATATTGAGGTCTTCTTTACTTTGTAATTTAAAACAGCATCCGTTTATAATTTCGGTATTTAATGTTAATTTATAATTTCAGCCTTCTTTAATCCTAATTTCTCCAGAACATTTAATTAACGAGAACATGTATTTTAATCCTTCAGTGCACGTCTAGAAGTTTGTGTTTCTGGAGGGAAGAATGTGGGTAAAACACACCGGAAGCACGTGTTTGGGCAGTCCATGCGTTTCCTTGCTGGGTAGAAGTAGAGAAAACATTAGTTTTTAATAATTGGTAATTCATTTAATAGTGAAACTGTTTAAATAGCATTTAAAATCATATTTATTAAAGACGAGCATTTCTATGAGATGCCCAGCAAAACATAAATGCTGTTTTTTTTTTCTTTCTGTTAACTGGTTTCTTTTGTCTAGAAGATGAAGATCAAGCGCCAGAAACACGCCAAGAAACACATAAGTTTTTTTAAATACAACTTCGGTTTACGGGAACCCTTTCAAATATTGATAGATGGCACATTTTGCCAAGCCGCTCTGAAGAATAAAATCCAGATTAAAGAGCAAATGCCGAAATATCTAATGGGAGAGGTGCAACTGTGTACTACGAAGTAAGTTTGGTTCGCTCTTGATTCAGTTTAGGATGTTCTTGCATTTTTGGTCGTCTTCTCGCTGATTAGAGTTGCATTTGCAAAAATCTTGTAGAAACAACTAGTGTTAATCCAGAAGATGGTTTAACACAGGAGAATTGTAATTTGTGTATAGTACATTCTGTATTGAACAGCGATTATCTCATACTCTTTCTACAGCTGTGCTTTAAAAGAACTTGAATCTCTTGGGAAGGAGCTGTACGGAGCAAAACTAATCTTGCAGAGGTTTCAGATTCGCAAATGTGACCATATGAAGGATCCAATTGCTGCATCGCTGTGCCTCAAATCTATGCTTGGAGACAGTAACCCTCACCACTACTTCGTTGCTACACAGGTAAATAACTACCAGTGATCTTGATGATGTGGGTTTGTCTGCGTTCACTCGATAACATGCATTTTACGTTTTGTGTTGAAAACAGTCTTGTAAATCTAGTGTTCAAGTAAACGATTCAGGTAACCATGTGAATTATGAAACTGCTGTCCTTTCATATCACTACTTAGTTGTACTCATGTAAGTAGGGTGTCTTGTGTGTGGTAGAATATTCATAAGTGTACTCATTTTCATAAATGCAATATTGTTCTAACATTCTTCTGTACCAGAGTGTGTTTGAATTAATCCTGCTTGGTTACATGTGGTTAGTTGTGGGTTTGTGTCTCTTTTGGTTTACTTTGCTTGTTGGAACAGAATGTTTTCAGAATCCAAGTCGGAAACTACAATAAAATTAGAGAATGCCGAGGACAGCAATACTACAATGCTACTTGCTAACCCAGAATATGGCTTTCCTTCCCTCCAATCCGCAGGACCAAGACCTGACCGCTTCTGTGAAGAACATTCCGGGAGTCCCGCTGATGTTCATCATCCAGAACACGATGGTGTTGGACAAGCCTTCTCCGAAGTCGCAGGCTCACGTCCAGGCGAGGCAAGCTGGTCAGCTGGTGACGGTCGAGCAGCAGCAGAGCATCCGGGCTCTGAAGGAGCAGCAGGGGCTGCAGGAAAGCACAGAGCGCAGAGGCAAGAAGCGCAAGAGGAAGGGAGCCCCCAACCCCCTCAGCTGTCTAAAGAAAAAGAAAAAAGCAGCTGCACCGCCACCGAAGGCGGCCGAGGGCCAGAGGAAACGGAGCCGTCACCGAAAACATAAAGCGACGATACGCTCACCTCCTGTGTGCGTTACACCGGCTTCCGCAGCTGTTAAAGAATAAGACATTCGTGCTGTACAGGTGATCATGCTAATCCTGCATCGCCTGGTTCCATTTACATTCACAGGACAAATAAGGCCACAGTAGAACGGAATTCTCAAAAATGCACCAAATAAAAACTTATTTTTTTAAGAGTTGTTCGATGTGAATCAGTCAGCAACACTTTGCTGATGCCAAGTTGTTTTACTTAAAATGACTATTCTCCAGTATTTACTGGTCCACAGCAGCAGTTTTGTACTGAAAATCTTTGCTTATAGCAACCCATTCTTTCATTCAATATATGAAAAGCAAAATGCGACCTGAACTACAAGCTTGGCATTGAAATAAACTGGTTACCAGCAATTCAACGTCCTACTTATTTATAGTGAAATGCTTTTTCTGTATACTTTAAATCCTCCGAGTCATATTGGAGGTATGTTTCAAAAGAATAATACTTTCTGCATGCTAACTAGCGCTACGATAAGCAGGTGCAAGTTGTAAATTAGCTCATTGAGCTAATACGATTTGCCAGCTTCATGGTACTGCAGTTTCTCTCAAAGGTGTCCGAGTAGCACAATGAAAATGTTCACTTTGAGCTTGGCTCTACACAATAAGACCAAAGCTACAAAGAAAAGGCTTTAAAGAGCTTGTGGTTTATCATTTGTCAGAAGAGCTCAACCTAAATTTAGACAATATTAGACAAATGTTCACATGTTCGTAGACCACTTTCTGCAGATACTAAGTCCGTTCAAATTTTTAGAAGTTCACCGGTAGTTTTTTTATACTTTAGCCTCCTTCCTAGACATTCAGACAATACTAATTATACATTCCTGGTGCACTGTTTAGTTTAAAAATCATGCAATTACTGTAGAAATCTGTAATAAAGTGGGTTATTAATCCAGAACTGGAAAGAAAATAAACAATACTTTTAAAACAGTGGATTTAAGTTTTATTAGAAAAGTTATACATAACACAGCTGCTATTTTAGGAACAAGTGAACTATAGAAGCATCTGACATTCATCTACCAAAACAGTTCTTTTACATTGAATGATTACCCTTTCCATGGTAACAGTATCTACAAGGTACTTTATCATTTCAGGTTTTTTACAAAACTGGAACAATGCAGGTTTACAGGCACATAATCAAGGCTGCACTGAAACAATTGCATAATTTGAAAGAAACTCAAAAGCTAGATGGAAATGTACACTTATTTCAAAATGTGGATCTTCATGACTGAGGGTATTTACCAACTTAATTTACAAAAAACAAGGGCAGCTTTTAAACATTAAGAGCGTACACCAGGGTGATAAATGGCCTCAAATGTATTGTCTTCAAAACGCAAAAGGAATTTTTAATCATGCTTTAAAATAAATGCATTTTAAATGCAAAACCTTCACAGTGGTTGTAAGAGGAGCGTACAACTTTGTCCAACTATTCGAAAACCTTAGGAAAAGAAGCCTATTTAAAAAAAAAAAGAAAGTAGCAGGTACCTGAAAAAAGCGCGTTACTACTCAGCTACAAGATGAAGGAACATGTGTGGAATTTTTATCTTTTACATCCTTTTGTTTTTAATCTTCCAAGACTGCTGCGCTCCCATTGTCAGCTCAGCTGGTAGAGAAATACCTGCCCAACTTGACAGGATGAAACAAAGCTGCACTGTTTCTGTAGCACATGCAAGATTTTCAGAACAGAGAAAGCCCCAACACTGAATGCAAGATAGCACCTTGAAATAGAAAAGATCTAAAAAGATGTTTTCTACATCTACTGCATTCTAACTTATTACAAACACTTCAAAAGTTGAAGCTAAGCTCCCAGACTATTAAATGTGTAAAAGTTGCATACTGTGAACTAATCTTGAGATCTGCAGTACAGTTATTTGATCTAACAATGGCGCAAAACTCAGATCCAGTACCACCAAGAGTTTCAGCAGTAAGTCAAGCTGATTAACAACTGGCGATTCCAAACTGAGTGGACATAAAAGAATAAAATGGCAATTCCAGAGTCTGGGGTTATTTCAATGAAATACGATTATTTGCTTAAAACTACTACTGTTGTATTATTTCTTTACTTTGTTTAAAAAGAAACATCATTTATCCAAAAAAAGCTTATTCCTGATAAGATTCACAGCAACCCAGAGTCTTTCCCAAAAGTACAGGGTGCAAGACCAGATTACCTGATGCCAGGGCATGCACACACAACGTAAATACACAAAACATACCTGAATGTCTTTGGGAGGAGGAAGGAAATACCCATAGAAAACCCTTGTGGACATGGGCAGAACATGCAAACAGGTGCACACACAATATACCGAAAGCCAGATTTAAGCCCAGGACCCATGAACTGTGTGGAGGCAGAGTTTACTCTCCACAACACAATTAGGTTTCCTCAATGTAAAACCACTTAGGCACACATCCTGTGTTAATATACACTTAATCTTGTCTAATACACTTTTGTAACTCTATCCCTTTCACATTTTCAATGTACTACTGGAATATTGTTGCATTATTCTTCCTCACACACCTCATGAAGCATTCAACAAGTCAAGATATTTCTCGTTGTCTAACAAAGTAATCCTGAAAGGTTTCATCTGTTATCTACAAAAGCAACATTTTACTCAATACTTTGCCTTTTCTATCAGTATGTTTTCTTCTCCTTTTCAATAAAGTCAGATTAAATTCATAAAACTGAAAATAATCCAAACTTTTGCACAGAACTGTATTCTTTTCCAAAACCTGCTACTCTCTCCTTCAATTCAACAGGCAGTGTATTTGGATATTCTCCAAATAAAATCACTTGGGCATTTTCCTTGCCAAAATTATTTGCTAAAATTTTTTGGGCCTATTTCAAAGGCCAACCACTGAATCATTTAACAAAATAAATACCCTCAAAATCATACTACTAAATCTGTCAACATAATGGTTGGAGACTAATTAATGGAGAAAACTATTATAAGACCTGAATACAAAGCCTATGTCCACTGAAAGATACACATGGGTTCTATTTTACTAAATTTATAATAAGCGGTAGAATGCTTTTAATAAAAGGCTCAAAAATTTTCAATTGAACACACTCCTCATAACTATGATATAAAATCCAAGTACTGTTTATCTTACATCTTCATAAAAAACCCTTCCCACACTAATACCCAATGACCAATGGAGTTTTAACAATAGGTTAAAAAAAACGTCATATACAAACAATAAAATATTAAACCTGCAAAGATGAAAACTTGCTAGTGTACACTTCACTAGACATAAAAGAATGCCTTATATAATATGGAATCTAGGTCCAGGTGTGGCGATGATATCACTGTAAGGTTCTTGTTGTGTGAGCTCAATGGCTTGCTGCTTTTTAAGTACCAAGAAGCTGTAGAATTTTGCTGCCGCTTGTTTCTTGTTGTTGTTTCGACACAGCTCGAGCAGGCTGATGGATTCAGCCCCCGTTTTTGCCAAGGCTCTCTGCAGAAAGGGGGTAAAAAAAAACAAACATGATCAACTAACAATGGTCAGGAGCATGCCTGACAATCTTCACAGCTACTACATCAAAAATTATAGAAGGTTGCATAAAAGGTAAGTGTTACTTCACCGGGCACTTATTGCCACATCTTACTCAAAATCCTCCTGGGTTATTTTAAGTGAAGGCTCACTGGAAATTTTGTAAAACCTAGAGCCAGGCCTCCTTCAGGAATTGATTTAAGTTTTAAGTAAATAAAACATTCTTTGTTCGCGTCATAAGCAAGGCTAGGAACTTGCTATGAAAACGTCTCATGTAGGTACAAACTTACGGTAAATCGGTTTAAAATGAGAAAACTTTAGTTTGTAAAAAGTACAACCTGTAAAGGATGAGGCTACATGTTAGTCTGAGCCAAAGGTAGTAATTGAGAACTCAATTGCTGATAAGTCTTACATCATTTAGCAACATACTTGCACTCAGTGTTCATCCCTTCACTACAGGTGAAAATGGCTGACAATTGTATGATATTTTGCAAAAGAAAATACTGCAATTGTAAACAACTGTGATGAGCAACGGAATGACTATCGCAGATAACTACAAAACTAACATAAGCAAAAGTCACAGAAACCATGACTCCTGCCCCCTCTGAAAGCAAATCCCAGCCCTGTTCCTGGCAGCTTGTGGACCTGCCATACTTTGGTTAAGAATTATTTTACTGGGCTACCAATGTATTTCCTCAAGCAAGCTTTCCTGAGAGGATAGCACACAGACTGCAATCACTTTACCAACAGGCCGCTACCGCAGGTCGATGAGTGGACAAAGAGACTGCAGGTTGGTTTACCTGGAGCCCATGAAGCATCTGCTGAGTCCTCTTGTTCCACCTTCTTTCCTCCTGATCCTGGTCTCCTCCCTGGCCTTCTTCCTCCTGTGAAAGCCACAACATTGCACACGAGAACTGATCAAGTTCAACTGAAACACTAGATTCACTAGCACAACAGGTCAGAATACATGTGGAATCGTTTACCTTCTCATTATGGGAATGTCTTTATCTTAAATATAGTAAGTAGTAGATCAGTCTCTAACTGTTTTATAATCCAATTTAAAAATTCTGAATTTAAAAAACTGAGGTACCATCACTGCTGCAGTTTCACTACTTCCAAAATTAATCTGACGCTACATTTTTGGAGGTTTGCATGGTCCTGTTCCAGCACCTTCTGTGGAATCTCTACAAAAGGCCATTGGATATAAGGAACTAAATTACACCAAGTAGCAGCTGTAGAGAAATGTGTCAAATGATGTCTTATAGAATTCAATACCAGATCACATCCAAATATCACACTTTGAAAACTCAAAGAATTACAGAAACAACACTGCTCTCTTGTTGCCCGTTAAAGCCAACGATTCATAGATACCAACATTTCAATCCAATTCCTTGAAAAAAAAAAAACAGAAGGAACTTTTTATATTAATCCAACTAATATCAGTTTCTACAAAAATATTCTTTGTTGTGATGCAGTTTTTTATTTAAAGGTTTTAAAAACCTAATAGACTATATATGGACTATGTGAGCTTTGCGTCTACTGACGTTTTTTTTTCCCTTTCCCAACGCTACTACCTCTTCAGACGTCTTCATTTCAACTTTCAGGCAAAACTACAATTTCAGACAAGAGGTTTGCAGGTGGGAGTTTATAACTTAGTTAAGTAGCGTCATTAAATTATCCAATACCAGGCTATTCATTCAGTGCCTGGACATCTGAAGCCAAGAATACAGGGCTTGCAAAACGAATGTTGTCAACGCCGGGCGGGCCGTGTCCAGCGCAGTAGCGGCACTGGTGCCCCTCACCTCCTCTTCCTCCTCGTCGTCCTTCTCCTTCTCCTTGGTCTTCTCTCCCAGGAGGTCGAGCTCGGGGATGAGCTGCGTGATGCTCTGCGGCTCGCTGGGGGGGAGCTCCACGGGCGGGATCTCCATCTGGGGCGGGACGGCCGCCTGCTGCTCCGGCTGCTGCTCGAGAGCACCCATCTGACACAGAGCAGCCGGCACGCCAAGCAGTGGCGCCCGTCAAACAATTATTTACCCCTGCGCAGTGGCTGCTTTAAACAACTTTTCAGTAAAAAATATATATATATATTCCCGCCCCCCACACACACACACTTCTTGACAGAAGAGTGTGAAGCTTGTGAGCTGGGCATCTGAGATTTTTGGGTTTACATCAGGACAAGGGTTCAAACATGCCACACGGAGAAACCCCCCGTCGTCCCAGGTGAGTATAAAATCCCTCCACAATGTACTAAAATTAACTTCTACTTACAAATTTACTTTTCTTCTACTTTGAGACTCCACGGTACCACACTGAATGCATATCAGTGGCTATATACATTAAATTCAATCTACAGACATTTTACATCTTTTTCTTCGTATTAAAGCATATCTCACAACACAAAAGTCTATTAACGTCCTTAAAATTCTGAGAGACAATCTACAGATTGCTGAAAATCCTGGCAGGCCTTTCGAAGGAAGATGTTTGAGGACAAAACTCACAGGAAGAGCTGGCTCTGGCTCTTGGGACTTGCGCTTGATTCCTCTCTGGGGAGGGGGTGGCATAACGGACTCATCGATCGTGGTCCTGCTGCCCTCCATCGCAGACATCTGCAGGACACTGGGCTCCTCCAAGATGGTCTGATCTGGAATGTATTCATGTGTCACAGCACATTAAGAGATATCACCCCCCACCCACCTCCTTTGAGCAATTCATATTCCCACTTGGATACATCACAGGATGCTCTGAAACTCTGAGAGGATAATTAAAAGTAAACTGAACATGAAAACCTTGAGTGACAGTACTGCACTGACATTTTTCTGCAAAATGTGAAATGTGAACAAAGAACAAGTTCAAAGAGTTGTTTATTCCTCCCATCATTTACAAACTTATCTCTGAGAAATGCGTGGGCTGCTGGTAGCCCCTCACATCCTACAATCCTTCAAATGATCCTTTGACATCAAAGTTATTAAAGCTGGAAATAAACTAGATAATAAGCTAGATAATCACCTTGCAAAGCTGAGTGTGAAACTGTCAATTGAACTCTGGGACAAGTATTTTGCTCATTTCCTACTTCTAGATAACAGATATACAAGAGATTTCTGAGTTTGCAATTCAGACTTGCAAAACGGTTCTAAACAATTTATAACTGTCCCATTCAAGAAAAGTCAGATTTAAACACCACCACAACCAGTATAAGCCCATTAAAAGTGCATCAGGTGCTGAATAAGGGGTGTGCAAATAAAACTGAAGCTCCTCAGCTCACTATAAGAAAAAAAAAAAGTGTGCAGTTTTCTGTGGTTGAACACACACTTCAACAAAGTACTGACATGACCCTCTGTTACAGAATGGCTATATAGTCAAAGCACCCTGACTAAACACATTTTCACAGGAGAATATTGCACCACTTGTCCCTCAAGCAAGCCAAGTCCCAGCAGCACAGATATTCTCTTCTGGCCGGGTACCCAGGGGAAACACCATTACTGGCTCTGTACTCCCCCCTGCCTTTCAATTTAGATGAGGGATTTCCTAGCCAGGGGAGAAGGCACGGCGCTCACCAATGATGTCTCGCTGCTGGGTCTGCTGCTCCTCTCTGGGCACCTCGGGGTTCTCCAAGTCCTTCAGGAACTCATCCAGACTGTCAGCCTCCCCACCCTTCCTCCTCTTCCTCAGCTCGTCTGGGACCAGTGGAGTAAGGCAACGGGTAAACATCTGGGGAAATAAACCAATGCACAAATAAAGAACCTTCAGAAGCACTCCTCAAGTTTACCGACCTGAACATTTTATTATGCGACACACTTTACAGCTACAGTGCGCAGCTCTCACCGAAAGCCTCCTGGGAAATAACAGGAGTTGCCAACTGCATAGTGCAAAGAATCCCCGTCATAGCAGTCAGGTGGCATGATCCCAGTTCGAACCGGGAACCAGTGTCTGGCCTACCGACACCGCAGACAGTGTCTTGAGGCTTCATTAGCAGAGCCACTCAGAACATTTTGTTTTACAGAGATATCGCATCAGTTATGTAATTGACCAAGCACTAACCCACATGGATTTACTGCAGATTTTCCCCACCAGGCCTTTTCATGATGTCAGTGCGGCGAGACATTTTTAAAAAACAACCAATGTTCTCCACCCACATATCAACGTAGAAAAGGCTGAAATATAGCGCCGTGCACCTTGAGTAGTCTGTTGTTCCACAGAGGCTGTGCTGGCAGGGAGAACAGTTTTTCCACACCGCCGGTTTCCTTCCACATCATGAGCTTTTTAGTAGGAGGAGCCAGATCCAGAGTGGTGACGATGTCAGAGTAGTCACTCAGCTGAGCACGGATTGTCTTGCTGTCCAGCTCCTTCACGCTGTCCACAATCAGCTTCCTCTTCCGCTTAGCTTTGGTCTCCTTAACTGTGGGACACAAAGATTTTCAGGATTTCATTCATGCGCAGTCCGTGGCATTAAACGTAAGAGGGGAAGAATAAAATAAACTTGCTTACCAGTGATATCTATGGGCTCCAGGGCAAAAGCTTCTTCCTCGTTGTGAACCAGAGTTGCCTGCTCAGTCTGGTCAGTCATAGTTGGCAGGGGCTCCACCGGATCCACAGAGTCTGGACTATCTGGCCCACCAGCTTCAGCCAAATAAAAACCATCAGCCATTGAGATGACAAAATTCACGACAAAGCCTCAAGTACTGCCCTCAAAAAACTGCTCTATCTATCATGAGAATCAGGCATGCAAAGTACAGGTAGTCCTCGACTTAAAACATGTGACTTACGACCATGCGCACTTACGACAGCCGTCCCCTTTATTGTATTACTGTGCAGTACGGTGTATTATTTTCGTGTCCTGGCGTTTGGTGGTAACGTCTAACATTGATGACATCATCAGCCTGCGCGACACCGTGCTGCCTCATCTTATTGTTTGGGTGCTTAGCAAGCAAAAGGCTAGCGAGCAAAAAAAGTGAGTGTTCTGGTGCCAACAGGAAAAAACGAAAGCAAAAGACAACAGATTTAGAAATGAAAGTGGACATAATAGCGCAGCGTGACAATGGAAAATCGGTATTGACAACTGCAAGGGACTTTGGCCTTTCTCATCGACAATATCCACAATATTAAAAGACAAGGGAAGAATTTGTGAAGCAGTGAAAGGATCAGCGCCTATGAAAGCTACAATAATAACGAAAAAAAGACAAGGCCCTGTTCACGAAATGGAGAAATTATGAGCGACTTGGATGGAAGATCAGATCCAAAAGGCTTAAGAAAAATTAGTGGAAAAATATAACAAAGCCGTATTACACAGTGTAGCATTTATGCATACAGATTCTTTACACATCCGTATGGTTTGCGTAGGTTCGCGATTTTCGACTTACAGCGGGGTCGTCGGAACCTAACCCCGTAATAAGCCGAGGACCACCTGTACTGCTTTTGAACACAGAATCCATTAGCCCGTTTGCTTCTTTAAGTTCCTCAGGGAGTCCTCCTGGTTTTTCGGTGGAGGCAAGATGCTTACGGGACATGTTATCGAAGTCGTCATCGTCGTCATGGGCATGCTCTTGAGGCATCATCACGCCGCTTTCAGCCATCGCTGGCGGGTCATCGAAGATACCGCCCCCATCTTCATTACTGAGGAGCTTGTCCACTGCAAAAAAGGTATCAGACGGGGATTCAAACCTCACATGCATCACCCCTTCTAGAAAAATCTAAATTATCTTTAAACACCTCACCTTCAAACCTTCACTCAATGATGGATTCATTTCCTTTCAAAATTCTCCCATTTACAGACCCTGTTCTTTTCACACCCCTCCCCCAGAAATCCCCCTTTTGGACTTTTCCTGACCTGCTCTGTCTTTATTTTCACTATGCTTTGTATACCTGCTACTTCCTTCCCTCACCCTCCTACCAGAAGTAGGCTCAATAGCCGACTCATTATCATACAGATGATCTAGAACAAAGCATGCACTTGTACTCGATTGGGTAAATAAAATCTATTCTGAAACAAAACAAACAAGCAAGACACTCCAGTACTATGTTAATTCCAATCGCAGTTTATAACAATATTTTAACAAAAGTTCTTCATGCATATGCAGCAAACCCCAAGAGCGAGTGGAGCATTTTGTTTTCAGATGAATAGGCCATACTGGCTACCCACTTCCTAAAAGGCGAATCAACTTAAGATAAGAGAAGATCACTTTATTAGCCATATACAATTTCTTGCATTAGGAATTTGTCTTCTCGCATACCCCAGCTTGCTCTCCTCAGGCACACAGATGGGGAGAGAGAAGCTGGGGGTCAGAGCGCAGGGTCAGCCATTTATACAGCGCCCCTGGAGCAGTTGTGTTTAATGGCCTTGCTCGGGTGTCCTACGGAGTAGGATTCCTCTGCCGGCCGAGGGATTTGAACCGGCAACCTTACAGCCACAGGAGCAGATCCTTAGCCACAGAGCCACTGCTCCGCCCCTTAGGTGTAAAAGGGGCAGGATGAATAGGACTGCCAAAAAAGAAATTGCCATTTTACCCAGCATTCCACCATCATTGCCCATGGGGTTATCCCCAAAGCTGTCGTCTTTGTACTGGTCATCGTACTGAAGGTGGTTGGACTTCTCATCGTTCAGCTGGCTGGCGTGTGGCTCAGGCTCCAGCAGCAGGTTAGGGGCCGTGGCGCCACTGATAATGTCCACCTCAAACGCGCTCTCTTCGCGCATCATCTCCCTGTCGTCCATGCCAAAGTCAGCTGAGACCAAGAGACAACAACAGCCCACGTTTAGCTCAGGCAAGCATGTCAAGGATTGTTCACAGATTTATGCATCTACCAAGTAGGGAATGGACAGTTGTGTGGACCCCTCCAACCTGCCCCCCTGAGAATCACTGCTACCAGAGGGTACCAGACTCCACATTCATGTACAGGAGATTAACCACCAGCAAGAAGAGACGAACATCACCTATCAATAGAAAACCAAGTTGGTCGGTTACTGAGACAGCCCAGGCTCGAACCCGTGACACCTAGGTCATCGAGCTCGTTTGAGTAACCAGACACAGTTGGGATTCAAGTCAAAACAAAATCAATGATGCCCCCCAAATCCAATAAAACTACACAATTCAGGAGTTTAAAATACGGATCAGCATAAATGGGGTTTGCAAGAACACTAGGCGTCAGTGAACAGAGAAAACTCCCGCAATCAAAACAAAAAAAATAAAAAGTAAAAATCTACTTAAGACTAGAACACAAAATGACATGCTGAACTGTTCAAAGCTTTTCTATAATCTTGAACCCCCGTTAACAGAACACTATTCTGTTGCGTGTTAATTATGGTCTTAATGTTATTTCCACAATACCAATAAAGCACTTATCACAGAACTAACTGCATGTCGCATTTATAGTAAAGTATCCAAGATGTTTTGATGTTATTTTACACCTTGGTAAAATTTAATTGAATTAAGTTCTTTGCTAAACTCCCAAGGGCACGCGAACCTTGCAAATTTTAATTTCTGCATTAATCAAAGATCAAAAGCTTTACATTTTCTGAACTCCTGCAAAAGATTAAAAAGCAAGGCTTGAATTACATACAAAAATCATTTTCTTGTAGAAGGCTGAGATTTCCCACTTCTTCTCTCATGGTGATTTCTTCCACCCTGCTCTGGTTCAATGTGAACTGCTGCGCTACATCAATGTCACTTGAAGAAAAAAACATTAATATAAATTAATTCAAAATATATTCACAACCTGGTGCCACTGTAACTATTTTTGGTTACAAAACCTGAGAAAATTCCCCTAATTGGATCAATATCGTTGGACTAAGAAGCGAATTAATAAAAGCAGTTAATATTTATATCCACTTCCTTCACAGACATAAGGAACAAAATATTTACTGTAATAGTAAGACAAAAATAAAATGGTCTTCATTGCAACACCAGAACATCTAAAAGAAATGTTGGCAGCGTGGTGATAATCCACTCCTATGTTTATTAAAAAAAAAATCACTCACTCTAGGTCGGGTAGCGGCTGGTCAAAATCATGGAACTCTTCAGGCAGTGTGATGGCATTGTAGGCGGCCTCTCTGTTCTCCTCCGGCAGATCCACAACCCCTAAAACACACCCGCAGATTTTAGCGGAGGGACGGACGGGCTGCAACTATGCTTAGCACGAAGTGTTCAGAAAGACCATAATGAAAACCTCGCCTTGAACTGAAAAAAAAAATCTGGAACTGCTCAATTCTTTCAACTCCACTTCTTATGAACGCTGCCATGATAGGAATTTGATAAGCAGGATGACCTGGCTCTCCAGCACCAAACTGGACTATGATAACTGCTCCCTTTTTTGAGGAGCCCACAATAATGCCTCCCAATCTGCAATTCTAGGATTGAGGCAGATGCAAACTCAGACTCTGCGCCAGAGGTCTTCTGTCATAAGTTCCCTGATAGGACCAGAACAAACCACCAATGAGGAACAATGTTATTTTAAACTAAGCTTAGCTACACTGATCCAAATAGTATAGTCAACACATCTGTATTAACAGTATCTCTTGGATATCTCTCCCAAAGAGACTGATCAGCCATGTCTGTTTATCATAGCATAATATTTTATATATACCCTGTAATGGTATATTTGGCATATTTTATTATTATACTGATAAAAACTATACTGAATTCCAGTGCCAGTCAGTGTTCCAACTGGGTTATTCCTAGTAGCCAAAAGGTACTCTTTACCTAAAAGTTAATTCAAGCCACCAACTCACAACACTCTATTACTAAATTAAGCCAGAAAACATTTTTAAATATAATCTTTTCTTATAAAATACTAATTTGCATTTAAGAACAAGACCCAGTACGAGAATTCAGAAACACCAACATCCACAGGAATAAAAAGTGACTTCCACACCGACAGGATTTTTAGAAAGCGCCTCACCTGGACGAAAAGCCATTTTGATCTTAATGAACGCCTCATTACAATCAGCAAGGAGGTATTTGGCTTTCCTGTGGTAGATTCTTACAACGCCCAAGAGGAGATGGCCAGAAGTTCTCAACGCCATTTTCACCTGAAAAAGTTAAATGACATCAGAGGTTCCATTTCAGGACTGCCCGGACACAATGAGACGCAACCATTACAAGCAACCAGTTTTTCCCCCAATCATAACACAAAACCACTTAACAGTTTGCTTTGAAGAAAACTGACAATCAGAAAGAAACTATTCACCATGACACAGTAAGCCTACAAGATTTCCCTTTCCTCAGAGCCGTCACTTTGTCTTCTAAAGATTTTACTTCAGAGAACAATTTTTTATTTTCAGAAACTGGCTTTTGACGGCTTCAAAAAGGCACGATGCTTCACCTTTGGAGAGATGATGCTTTCCACACTGCTCTCCAGATTGCACTCGAACACGTGTGCTTTGGTAAGCTTCTTATCCCAGTGGGCCGCAAGCCAGATTTTGGCCAACGGCCCCCTCTTGCTGAGGACAAAGTGGGCATAAAACATTGTCCCAGCTCCTTCTTACGCCAAGAGGAAACTGCAATCCTGCAAAACAAAATGAAATGTTCGTTAAAAAAAAAAGTTATATTTCATTTTATTTAAAGTTGTTCCAAGATTAAACATTGGTGGTTCCGGGGGAAAGGCTTTGAATATTTTAAATGTTTCACACAGCGCAGAGATTTGTGACACAAAAATGTCTTTTTGAAATATGAATGATTTTTTTTGTTATAACTTCACAAAGAACTCTTTTTATAATAGTTTTTATTTATAATGTGCAAATGTTAGTTACCATTTCAAGAAACCCAACACAGTAATGTAGAAATTAGGACACACCGTTGCACAAAAATCTGATTTCCAGAGCCGAATGCTTTCTAGTAAGACTTCCAGCTTTAAACATTTTGCGATACTTAAATAAGGCAATCTTGCAGAGCAATGAGCTACAACTTTCAGTATTTTTCTACATCAGTAGTAAGGGATCTTGATTTAGTCAGATAAAAGTAAGAACTAGAAACATGTCATGACCCAAGACTCTACCACATTCATTTTATTCTGTATCACCAAACATTTTGTATTATTCACATCACGCACATGGAATGAGCATATGAACAGCTCCAAAGCTTGTTTTGGGATAATCTCTTTACTATTTGTAATGTACCACCAAATCAATACATCACAGCTGCAGCCATCTATCTGGTGCAAAAAAGTTAACTATTTTTCCAGTTTTGCCAAAAGAGCTCTTACAAGCCCCAATCTGAGGTTAGAGATACTCTGCATGGAAGTGTAATCTTCACCTCTGTGGATTTAACACTGGTACTCCTCTATACACAAAGCATGCCCACTCACAAGCAACCAAAAGAGTGGGTGTGATACTGTCACTGCATCCTATCCACCTCTGATCCTTGGCCATCAAGGCAGACCCAGTCCTGACGACACAAATATGCACAACACACAGCAGCTTCACACAGCATTTAGACAAGAGAGCTCTTGAGAAAAAAAACTGATTAGGAAAATGACAGACATGTTAAGGAGGGGTGTATCTAAATAAATCCAAGTGAATTGTGTAAACATCCCTCGTTTCTAGCACCTAACGCTTCACAAGAATAAAGTTCACTGAAGAGACAGATTTTCTGTGATTCTAATCAATGTAAAAGTGCAGCAGAGAAGAAACTAACATGAATATACAAAACAAAGGGCAAATGGTGGAGCAAAACATGACCCAAGATACTGCACGAGTTCAAACATCGGTCACATGATAGAAAGTGCATATTCAGAAATCAGTGTAACTCCTCAATTGTATATTTACAAACACACACACAGGGCTCTGACAAAGCCACAAGCAGGCTACAATGACAGGTACTATTTTTAGGCATCCACTTGATTTTGCTCCTACTAGTTCAAAACTTAATGCATCAAATTAATTACCAACGGATTATGGAGCTTACTGCTCATACAATTATAATATACATTTGCAATTAAATAAACAGAGTTTCTTACCTCTGCTGTATTACCTTCATGGGGTACTAACAAAAAATACCTGTGGGCACAGTAATAAGAACAATTGAACAAGTAGGCCTACTCCTGTGACTGCAGATGTAACAAGACAAAGAATTTAGCAAAACACTGTATTGTTGTATCTTTGACATATTCTATTTAAAATGCATGCTTCACTAACTGTGCTACATAAAAAAAGTATATATAATTACATATCGCTATACATTTTAAATTTGCTTAATGGCCCTTATTTCATTAGAATTCTGGATGCATCTTCTTTTCCACTCTTTATACAGCTCCAAACCATGCTAAATCCATCCAAGTCAAATGTAATTGCTTAATAATTAAATCACTATTAAATGTAAAGTCCCAGAATTACTCCTCATTTGTATTGTATCTTGTGCACTTTATAATGACTTTATAATGACTATTGGCTGCATTTCAACTTTCTGATCTGCTCTGCAAAAGAGCACAAACAAAGGTTCCCTTCACAGTTACATGGTCAATTAATTCTGCCTCGCGTTTTAAGCAAATCAAGAGTGGCAATTCTTCTAAATTTAATTTAACAACTTCAGCACATAAATCGTTATACAGTCACTCTGCAACTTGTTTATTAAGAGTCTGCTCACTTATTACTACCTAACCAGCTCTTAAAAGGTAGTCAATTTATGATGCACAGACACAGGGTGGAATCACACTACCAAACATTCATGAGAACAGTTCTAGCAATCAGTTACAGGTGCATGGCTGATAGCAGTTACACATATGATTTGAAATTAAGGGCTAAACGTAAAAACATCAAACAGAAAATTTAAATCCATTAGTCTCTAATAAAGCACCCACCCAGAACAGAAAACACAGGTGTCACCCAGGATGAGGGTGGGGAACCACTGAAACAGAAAACTACCTCTGGATACTGACAGCAAAGGCATATATACAAGGTTTTCTTTAAAGCTTTTTAATACTTAAATCAAGTAGCTATGAGCTGTCAAACTCGAGTGATGGGCTAAATGGCTTCCTCTTGCTGGAAACCATTATGTTCTTATTTGGATTAAAAAATGTAACAGCTACAGCCAAAACTGGTAACATTCCAGGGCCTTCAGGATACCACTAAATACACAACTCATTTTCATTAGCAGGAGATGTTTAATGCTCAGTTTCCAAAGAACTACCAAGACTGTAATTAAAATATTATGTGTTTTTTGTCATTGTACCACAAAACGAGCATCAATAATAATTCCTAATCTGAGGGGATTGCTATAGACAGACAAGGAGATGGGAGATGAAGTCAACCATGTAACAAAAGTGACAAGATTTGATCTAAGCATATAAAATCCTAATGTGACTTTAGGGTCAACCCAAGGTAGTACTGCACACTCTTTAACAAAACTGTGGAAAACAAAAAGGGAATCCATTTGTGACAGAAAACAGGAGGTGTTTTTTGGACAAAGATGTTAAGATGTATGTTTAGGTGGATCATTTGTACTTTAATTTTACTTGCCAAACCATGAATACAAACCATAATTTTACCCAATTTTGTCTTTGCATCCCCTTTGTTTCTATAGATCAGAAAGAACAACAGATGTAAAACTCTGTTACGGTCCTTAAAACGATGCCATGTTGAGTCTTGATCGATGTACACATATCAGCTTGCATTCCTGCATCTTGCAAAATAAAAATTAACCTCATGGAAATAACCTTATCAAGTCTTCTGGAGGTTATATACTGCAGTGTTATAAAGGTCCCTGTTGCTTGTTTGAAGACATCTAGTTCATTAAACAAGACCTTTCTTTTCTAAAGCTGTGATTGTTGTCTCTTAAAATGCCAGATTTGAAAGCACTTTCTACCTTTGATCTCTCCTTTCCATAACTTTACCACTAAATGAAGCGTATAACTGTGGTTTATTGGTTGGGGTCACATGCACAATTCTCCAATCTGTGGGTACAGTTTCATCCCTTAACACTGGTATGTTCAACTCTTATCTTCCAAGGGCAACTCGCCCCTATTTCTCCAACTTCTCAAGAACAAGGTAAGGCTTCACCTTCTGCAATGAAGCAAAAACTACGCAATAAAAGACTAAAAACTAGGAGACCACTTGACATCCAGGACAAGAGCCGTGCACCTCTGTCTTAGCAGGAGATGAAACATTGTAGAAACGCACACTGAATAACATCTCTCATTTCTTTAATTATGGCATCATCAATCCTGATGATTCCTCAATGTTAATCCATCCAAGTCTATATAAACCTCAGTGCCAATTACACAAACAGTACTGACTGGTTATGGAAGGAGAAATGTTATCAAGGTCTTCCACTGTAAACACATTTTCACATGCATGAAACACATTTATCATCTTCTGTTACTAATCCCTTGTTGAGAAATTATTGAATTCTGTTCTACTACCCTTTAATGGTACAGTAATGAAAACAATCTGCATAATATTTCACTTCAATTACAAACTATTCCAATTTCCCTTTATACAATAATATATTTTCAGATGCTTCTGCATTCTCCTTCAGTTCAGACTTTCCCAGACCTCAATTTGTTTAGAACCTTTAATGTTGTTTTAAACATACACCCACCCTTCCACTAGTATGAACCCTTCCTTTTCCAGTTCATTGCTT